AGCTTATAACTTAAAATCCTGGCCAATGTAATTGAAGGAGAAAATGTGGTGTAGCAATAATGTTAAACACTAACGGTGTTAACTCTATCTATACTGTACATCATTTGGTAACTGTCGTGTCATAACCAACACGACACATGTACCGCACCAGCTTATAGGACCAATCCGGTAGGCCCCCAATGTCATTGAGCATATTTATTAAACTAAGCTTTTTATACTACTTTATCGATACAGCAAATCAACAATCTAATTTCCTAGGTAAGTTATTCTACTAAAGTCAGTATATTTGTCATTTGTGATGAAAATATCATAATCAGTGTGGGACCATGAAACCTACCAAGATATATCCTTGCAGGCCACAGCTAATTTTGGGACCCTACAACTTGGGTAAGCTTAATACAGAAATAATCATTTTATTTTCTCCCATGTTCAAATTATTGACTTTTGGATATGCTAATATGACTGGATAGCAAAACTGTAAATAATTTCAATATGGTGAACTCATTGCTGGACTATAGAGCAGACATCTACATAGACCACATATCTGCATACATTCTCAGTTTATTTCCAGAGTGCCCTGGCAGACCTAAACCCCAGTGCTCTATATTAAAAATATGGTGACCAGAGCGTGTATAGTCCTTCTCTGACTATCTCCTCTCCTTTATGCACCTTATAGCAGCAGTGTCATTACCCAATAGTGATGCACAAGGAGCACTCTGGAGGTGCCTATTATATACCCAAGCAGTCAATTTACCATACTGAAACAAGCCACAGGTTTGCTTTAATATTCCAGTTTGAGAATGATCAAGATTTAAACATTGCAGAAGTCATGTTTTTACATCACCCGTGTCTTTTACATACCTTTTTAGTGCATAAATAGCTGAATATTAAATGCTATTATCTAGTACACATGACAGGCACTCTCAGCAAGTCTGGATCCTGTGTTGCTGTATCTTTAAGAAGATATGGATATCTCTCTAAGTAGGCATTGCTCTCAATTTCTCCATTGCTGCCGTATACTGTATGTATCTTAGTATAGGTATTCACATAGACTAATGTATGGCCACACTTTGTAGTGGCATCATAAAGGAATTTGTGTTGCTCACAAATATTTCTCAATCTATGTAACTGATCCCTTATCTGGCCAGCAGGCTCACATGCTAGGGAATTTTGTCTCATGCATTTGTAGTGTATTGCCCTTCCCACATGCAATTTTGTTTCCTAGTTATAAACTGACCTGCTTGTCATACATTCTTTTTACTGTCATTGATGTTAGAGTAGGAGCACAGAAGAACCTTCACATGGTAAGTGCGGTTTTCAGATATATCTACAAATGTATGTAACTGATACCTGTTTTTACAACAAAAGAAATGGGTTTGAACTAGGTCTTCTTTTTTTGGGGTTTTACAATGTTTGGCTTTTCTACTGTTAAGATGCAAAACTTAAAGTGAAGTTTTGCCATTGAACTTTTTAATGCCAACCCCTACAGCAGCTTATATTTTCTTCTCTTCATCCCCCCACCAGTTACTTCAGGAGCAAGGATAATTAGCCTTTTATGAGGTCCAAGTCAATCTAGTCACAGCTTACACAGGGCTGAGGACTCTCTCCCCATCACCATGTGACAGCTCTGGTAGCATCCGGTGGCTAAACAGAGAGACAAAGGCAAAGAGCAGAGGGAAGGTGAGTATAAGCTATTGCACGGGGTAGCAGTAAAGTGAACCTGTTTCTTTGCAGTGCATGGCAAACGCATAGGTTCACTTTAAGAACTCAGGTTTCGTTCTGGTGAGTCATTAAAACTTTTTAATCAGCCCAAGTAGTTCTATATTTTTTTACCTTGACCAATTCATATAACCAAATTTCCTAAGATGTATTTATCTTCTCTTTATCCAAGAGTAAAACATATCTAAAACAGCTCAGTGCTTCAATTCTAAGAGTTCATTTTCTATGTACTTTTAGAAAAAAAAGCAGTTAGCTAAGCTGCTGAGGATGAAAAAAAGGTTGTTTCATTAATCAAATGGCCAGTACCCTTGGCTTAGGGTTGAGGAGTAAAGTATATTGCAGGCTGCTGAATTTCAATAGATGTATAATTCCTTTAATGCATTTTTTGGCAAGTCTAAAATTTGAGTGCTTTTTTGTTTGTGAAATGTTATTTTTACATACTTTTAATATGGCTTTCGTTTACTTAAAGTAAAAATCTACAGTAATAGCCACCCTATCCTGACCCTTGTGGTACACTACATACATAGGAGATAAAAGAGACCTTAAAATACCCAACCAGGATGTAATCCTAGCCAAAGTTGATTATTGAAGTAAGTCAGCTGCTTTGTCTGAATTCTGATTCTTTATTTCAGCAAAGACCATATAGGCAAATTGTATAATTTGGTCTAACATTTGGTCATGTGGCAGGCCATAATGAGAATAAGCAGTTTTTTCAGAATAGGTTCTCCATTATTATCTATGTATATATTGTTACAGCAGGTTTAGGATTGAGGGGAAGGTTAATATAGTATATTTCCACTATAAATGGGCCTATACTCCAAAGTTAACATAAATCTCCATTTACAGTCATGCTTGGATGGAATAATAGAGTGTAAATACGTACTGTTCCTTTCAGTTCCCATGTTTCCTCAAGTACTGCTCACATAACAAAATCCTATGCATTTGATAACATGACTTGTCCTGAATTCAGCTGCATGCAGAGATCTTATAACTAAATGCCTGAAGTTTTCATTATGTGAGCAGGACTGAAGGAAACCCAGAACAGCATTTTCTACCCTTTTATTAGGCTTAATTTAATCATCCTGGCAAAGCTGTCTACATATCTTTATGTTAACAGAGATTCACTTTAGGTAGGCAGTATCATTTAATGCAAGGCTTACTAAAGGCAGAACTGCAAATTAGATAGTAACTAGTTACACACAGTTTTATAAGAAAAAATGCATATTAAACCAATACACTTTACTCAACCTCCAATATTTGGTTAATTCTGATCTGCACTTTGGCCAATAGCATATTCTAGCTTTTTAGAACTCTGATGTGAGTAAGATGACAGGCATGGCCGAATTTCCCACAAGGCCAACCGAGGCCTGGCCTTGGGCAGCAGGGGTGTGGAATTCCTATCTCCCGACACCCGGGGCATGCAGTTCTGGGCACCAGGCGGCTAGTTGTTTTCTACATTTAGCCCTGCTTTGGGCAAGCAGGGCTAAATGTACAGCGGGGAAGCTTGTTTTGTACAAGTGATCTCGGCGATGTCGCCGAGATCACTTGTATGTATGCAGCCTGCATACAGGGGGGTGCATTGAGGAACCTGGCAATGGGGCAGCAGAGTGAGTAAATCCGGCCTTGGTGACAGGTACATATTTTATCGGCCTCTCTGTACAATGTAGAGAAAAAACAATGTAATGTTGTACCGAGGTCCTGCCCAATGATCATAATGGGCTTGAGAACATTCCAACATACTACATAGTGAAAATTATTTTTCTAATGCATTTACAAAAAATGTATCTAAAAGAAAATAACAAAACTGCTGTGTAGGGAAGCTGTATAATGCAAAGAATCACTTTGTTGCACATAGTTTCAAAAAAGAAAATATAGTCATACCAGTCTCGGCTTCTCATCTATTATCCTTCTGTGAAATTCCCATTGCTGTAAAAACATGTCATGTTCAAATCTTTCATGATCCATCAGTAATTCTACCCTTTAGGTCCTCTATTCCCTTCATTTTGAAAAAACTACTGAAAGTTCTGAGCTGATGAAAAAAAATAATAATATATGTATGTATGTAAATTACAGCTTCCTCTATAACCTGCACTAGATATATGGTATGTCTATCATAGAACACTATGAGCATAAGTGCAAATCAAATGCACTATAATTAGAAGTAGAAATGTTTTTTATTTTTTTCACAGCAAATTACTCAATTGTCCTGTATTGATGGTAAGTTGCAGAATCCTCTGCTGTTTCTACAATCCTTCAATTATGAAAGAATATAAATGAAGTCCACCAATTTTATTCAGCAAAGCAGTAATAAAGTCACTAATAACAACAAATCAGATTTCATTTTTACTGGAAAAAAAGACTTCCGATTGGTTGCTTTGGGCATTGCTCTTTTCCTTGCTTAATAAGCCTCACAATGGCAGATAATTGTTATTCTAAACGTAAAAAAAAAAAAAAAAATAGACAACACATAAGTCTATAGCTGCAGTTCTGATTTGGAACTGACACAGCAATGGATTCAAGAAATAAAATTGTATATACGGATTTTCTAATGACTGAGATGAAAACTGTACAGTACATTCATAAACTGATTAGCCTGGAATAATGTTTAACACACATTAGAAGATGTCCAGATTGAACATGAATGTGCTATCCCCATACAGTTCTGTGTAGACAGCATACACTTAAACAGTAACAAAACACCTCCTGCAGAAACTAAATGGCCTACTCTGCTTAGGAGCAAATGTGCATTTGCAAGTATGTCTAGTGTCGGTAAAGTTGGTGCATTCAAAATACTAGCACCTGCACTGGCCCAAACTCTACCTCCAATTTCTATAATTCCAGCACACAAACACTTGCCTACACATAATTTATATCTGGGTTTACAATAAATTAGTTAAAAAAGAAAGGTCAACAACAGTCAACCAATATTTGTTGTATACATTAAGTTAAAAAATATAACTTAAAAATATTTAAAGTGAAGATCAGTGGACCCTGGGGCAGGCATGACATTTTGTTGTCCAGAAATGTATCCCCTATGAATAAAGACGCAATACTTTTCAGCGCTGGACTTATTCTGCAGTGCATGAGGTGTTATAAGCCAAACTACCACACTATGCAGATTGGAAACAAAGACATCTACAACAAAGTGAGCAGTTAACAGCAAAAAGGAATGTGCAATAGAAAATGCTATCAAGCTCCATTCAGTCACAGACTCATTTTGTTGTTTGTATGAACCACAGATAGTAACAATTGTGACAGACAATATATTTTGCTGCTCTTGCGGACTGACTCCAGCGTATTGTTATCCCATGACTCTTAGGTAACCTTCTGCTTGATGCTGGGTGTCTCTGGCCGGTAATCCTTCCTCTCCGAAACATTACGCTTGACCTTGGCATTGGCTGGTGATGAATCTTGAGTAAGAGATGGGCTTGAATGAGATTTCTTCAGGCCAGAGTTGTCATTGTCACCACTGCTCAGAAGCTCTTTGCCTCCTTCCTTCAGGAGTTTCACATAAACTTCATATCGGGTTTTCTAAAATAGACAAACATAAAATATTTAGCAGTAGAATATAAAGATAATTAAGGAGCCGCAATTTAATAATACCAGAGGAACCATCAAAAGAACAAACAAAAGACAATAACCGGTAACTATAGACATACTTACTGAGCAAAAAAAGAGCAAGGATGATGTGCAAGATGCAGCTACCTTTAGGAACAAATTGCAAATCATCTTCTTAGGGAATCCTATGTACATTGTGCAGCCAATTACAACCTTATTGGTTGCTTTGGGCCACTTAATTTTGCATTTCATTACTCCTCGTTGCATTGCCTTAATGGACAAGCCCAATGATGGCTAAAAGGCAACAATAAAAAAGTGGAATGATATCATGTATCAAAGGTGTGTTAGCCCATACAACCAATCAGCTCCCAACTTTCATTCTAACCTTCTGGTATGAAAGCTAAACAAGGACATAGAAGATTGGTTTCTATGGGCAACAAGAAATGTTCCGGTCAGCACATACTTGATGCATGAGCTCCTTTTTAAATAATGTATGGCAAAATAAGAAAAGTGATGAAATTAAAATTTATTATCTCATGTATACCTGCATGTCTTTTGTATGTCACAGAGTAAAGCAATGTGTGAAGAGAGATAAATGATTGCTTATGCTATAAAGATTTTTCAAAAATGGCCTGCAAAAGATTTGTTGGTACCCCTACAAAAGATTTTACACAATTGGGATCATAGAGATATTTAAAAACTAACCATTTTCTGTAATTAGTATTGCATGTCTTCAATCTTGTAATCAGTCAGTTAGCCTATTTGCATGGAATAACATTGTTGCTCTACTTCTTGCTATCCTGAGCACCACACTGAACATGGACCAGAGAAAGCAAAGGAAAGCAGAGGAAGAGTTCAGAAAAAAAAAATAGAGACCAACATGTCCCATAGTTATAATGCCATCTACAAGCAGCTTGATGTTTATCTGACTACTTTTTCCTCGGAATGTAGTCAGACTCCTTGAGCAAGAGGAAAATTAACCCCAGATGGAATAGAATAATGCAAATGGTAGACACAGAGCCAAGGAAAACTTCCAAAAAGATACAAGCCGACCTCCAAGGGCAAAGTACATCAGTGTCTGATCACACCATCCATTGCTTTTTGAGCGAGACGACAGGGGGTTTAAAGGAAGAAGACCCAGGAGGACTCCTCAGTTGAAAAACATAAAACTACCAGGCTGGGATTTGCTAAAATCCATACTGACAAGCCATAATGCTTCTGGGAGAATGCCCATTGGACAGATGAGACAAAACTGGAGCTGTTTGGCAAGTCCCATAAGCTATATATTCACAGATGAAAAAAATAAGCTTTCAGAGCTACAGAGATTGCTAGTTTTCAGCGATTGCCTCTAAAAGCTGTGCAACAAAATAGTAGGTTAAGGGTCCCATCATCATTTTTATTCATGCCATTTTCATATGTTTAAAACACAGTTAAGAAAACTAAATATATAAGTAACTGAATCATTTAATCTCACAGTCCAATGGCAAAATACAGTTTTACTAGCAGGGAATGTCTCTGTTATATTTCACTGTTTGCCACAGTAAAAAAATAGCTTTCTTCGGCATTTCTATTTAAATCTGCCACTATATAGCATAAAATCACACAAAATTAAGACCTGCTATGTGTCTAGATACCATACATAAATTGTTTAAAATATCTGCACCACCCAAAGAATAACTATAAGCCAAGTCGTATCTTGTTCAACAACCATCTTGTCCATGATGGTGCCATCATGTATATATACACTATATTGCCAAAAGTATTGGCACACCCCTCCAAATGATTGGATTCAGGTGTTCCAATCACCTCCATGGCAACAGGTGTATAAAATCAAGCACCTAGGCATGCAGACTGCTTCTACAAACATTTGTGAAAGAATAGGTCGTTCTCAAGAGCTCAGTGAATTCAAGCGTGGTACTGTAATAGGTTGCCCATGAATCCATGAAATTTCCTTGCAATGAAATATTCCATGGTCAACTGTTAGTGGGATTATAACAAAGTGCAAGCAACTGGGAACAACAGCAACTCAGCCACGAAGTGGTAGGCCACGTAAAATGACAGAGTGGGGTCAGCACATGCTGAAGCGCACAGTGCGCAGAAGGCGCCAACTGTCTGCAGAGTCAATAGCTACAGACCTCCAAACTTCATGTGGCCTTCAGATTGGCACAACAACAGTGCGTAGAGCGCTTCAAGAAATGGGTTTCCATGGCCGAGCAACTGCATTTAAGCCTTACGTCACCAAGTGCAATACAAAGCGTTGGATGGTGTGGTGTAAAGCACGTCACCACTGGACTATAGAGAAGTGAAGATGTGTTCTCTGGAGTGACAAATCACGCTTCTCTGTCTGGCAATCTGATGGATGTGTCTGGGTTTGGTGGATGCCAGGAGAACGGTACTTGCCTGACTGCATTATTCCAAGTGTAAAGTTTGGGGGATTATGGTGTGGGGTTGTTTTTCAGGGGTTGGGCTTGGCCCCTTCGTTCCAGTGAAGGGAACTCTTAAGGCATCAGCATACCAAGACATTTGGGACAATTGCATGCTCACAACTTCCTGTTCCAACATGACTGCACACCAGTGCACAAAGCAAGGTCCATAAAGACATGGATGAGCAAGTCCGGGGTGGAGGAACTTGACTGGCTTTCACAGAGTCCCATCCTCAACCCAATAGAACATCTTTGGATGAATTAGAGCAGAGACGGTGAGCCAGGCCTTTTTGTCCAACATCAGTACCTGACCTCACAAATGCGCTTCTGGAAGAATGGTCAAACATTCCCATAGACACACTCCTATACCTTGTGGACAGCTGTCCCAGAAGAGTTGAAGCTGTTATAGCTGCAAAGGGTGGGCCAGCTCAATATTGAACCCTACAGACTAAGAATCCTGTGCAGAAAGTGATGAGGACACCCTCACACTAACCCTCCATGTCACCACATTGCCTTTGGTAACGTAAACTAAACTCTTTGTCTGCATGTTCACCCTTCCTGCTCCAGGAAGAATCATGACCAGACAGCTGATAAATAATGCTCTCCAAAATAACCAGACAATGTTAATTCTGCTAGATGCTCAGAAGAAAAAGAATTGCTGAGTCCTGTAAATCAGTAAATACTGCTTTCCTGCTGTACAAAGAAAAATTGTTAACTTCTAAGTCTGCTTTGTGCAAAAGTATGTTCAAGTCGTGGCCCAGTGACTTCTTTTCTTTTTCTTGTGCGAACAAAGAGATCCGAAAGAACAATCATATTTAAATGCACTTAGTTTCATGGGGTTTAAGAACAGTCATCACAGCTAGAGATACCTGGAAAAGCTTTATAGCTGTAGTTGGTGCACTTTACTGCATTGCCAATGAATGCCTGAGCGTGCATTCAATCATAATTCTTAATACAAAAGTGCTCTGCAGCAGCTAATCTCTTTCTATTCATCTGTGCGAGACTAAAAGTTCCGTCCATAAAATACATGAGTGGAGGATTCAGCAGGGAGCAGTGAGGGGGCGCGTTTCAAATGTTTTGCAAAATAATTTTCTATAACCTTTTCATTGTTGGATGTTTTGGATAGTAACATTTCTGAAAGCTATGCCATGTACAGACAGAAAAATACAGGAAGGTCTAAGAAATGTAAGTTTTTATACACACATCTTTAAATTTGAGTTTACAAAAAAGCCAAAGATAGCAATGCATTAGCAGTCAGTAATTTTGCTCTCAAAAAGTTACATAAAATGAGAACAGATCAGCACACACACTCTTATATGCACTGAACTCAAGTCACAGGCTGCAACATGAAAAGAAACCGAAAAAAAGTAATTAACGTATAGTGGGTTAAAAGATGTCTAAAAAGCTTTCTACTAGATATAGTATAATTTTTAAGAACAGAGATTTCCTCACTTAAGGAACTGTGGCTGGATATTTTAACATGACTATTTGTATTAGCAGAATTTATTTTTCTGACAGTTGACTTTATTGTAAGGTAAATCACTAAAATAATGAACCACTGACAGCTACATGTCAATGACCCCTTGCAAACCTTCTATTGCTGCGCTTAGTGATTTTTTTTTCTACTGTCCTCCTTTCCTACCCATAATGCATGTGCTCTTTTCCCATCCTATAACTAAACTCTGATTCTGGTACTTTTTCAGGCACCTGAAAATTATAACCTGTACATAAATGGATGGGAAAAGTGCTGTTCCAATAAGGGACTATTGTCATTTCATCCCGTGTGCTCCATTAATCCAGCCTACAGAGATAATTACAAAAAGATGCTGGCAAGCAGCACTGATTTAGAAGAATCAGTTTAAAAAGCAGATTAGCGTTTTGTTACCTTTTTAGTTTTGTTTTAATCTTACACATTTATAAGCACAGATATATTCTGCAGTGCTTTATTAAGATTTCTGAACTGACCTGCTATTAGGCAATTCATGTTCATTGAGACGAGGAAGTATTTTCAGTGGTTGTTCTATTGTTTTGAAATAGTTCAACTACAAATGTGCTAACATTACAGCTACTCATGTATTCCTCCAGTAAGTGACACAAGAGTTGTAGTTGGTACTTTCAATGCAGAAAGAGATGTCACTTAATGGACCACCATAGTACTTCCTGCCAGCTGTGCACGGGGTGCTTCCAGACAGCTGTCCGCTAGTTGCACAAGCTGTAAAAGATCCAAGTATGGAGTTGCTCAGGATCATGTGGTCTAAGGTCAGATTGAGCCCAGTGTCATGTTAACACATTTATACATATGCATGCCCAGAAATACACAGATAATCAAAACACGCTGCATATTTTTGTTGGGGAGTAAGAAGTAATTTTACGTCTTTTTAGGTAGCAATAAGGATAGAGTCACCTTTGGCTAAACAATGCACACCAGTCTCTGATCCAAGAGGAGCATTTCTCAGAATGTCCTTACCACAGTCCTAAAGAATGGGGTCAATCTGTGAAGAAACCAATTGACCATTTAAACATAGAAGAGTAATTGCAGAAAAAGACCAA